CTATGAGGTGGATTGATTCAGTGACTGGGATAATTGGGATGGGAGTGTCAGAGACAGTGCGATTGGCACAGGACAGAGCAGAGTTTAGGGCTGTTGTGCATAGGGTCGCTATGAGTCGCAAGCGACTCAACGGTATATAACATCAACACAATATATATATATTTGTTGTTGTTGTTATGTGCTGTCAAATTGCCTGCAACTCATACCGACCCTATGCACAACAGCCCTAAATCCTGCTCTATCCTGTGCCAATGTTATTGTCTTCAACACACTTATCCCCATTACCGCAGTCATTGAATCAATCCACCTCATCGGAGGTCTTCCTCTCCTGTGCTGTCACCTCACCCTCCCAAGTATGACGTCTCTCTCAAGGACTGATCCCGCCTTGCAACATGTTCAAGGTATGTCAGAAGAAGCTTCAGAATCCTTGTTTCCAAGGAGCAGCTTGGCTTCACCCTCTCCAGGATGAACTTGTTTGTTCTCCTAGCAGTTCGTGGAATATTCAGTACTCTTCTCCAGGGCCACAGCTGGCTTCATATTCTCCAGGACGAACTTGTTTGTTCTCCTAGCAGTTCATGGAATGTTCAGTACTCTTCTCCAGGGCCACAGCTCAAAGGTATCAATTAGCTTTCTATCATCCCTAGTCATTGTCTAGCTTTCTAATGCATAGCAAATAATTTTGAATACTATGGCCTGTATCAGGTGTACCTTAGTCTCCAGACTGACAGTGTTGCTCTTCAGTACTTTAGAAAGGTCTCTGACAGCAGACTTTCCCAATGGAATATGTCTTTTAATTTCCTGGCTGCTGGTACCAAGAGTGTTTATTGTAGAGCCAAGAAAACCGAAGCTGTCAACAATCTCAATCGCTTCATCATCCATAATGATGCTGCCAATCGTCCCAGTGGTGAGAATCTTTGTTTTCTTGATGTTGACCTTCAGTCCATATTGAAAGCTGCAGTCCTTGACCTTTACAGTGAGTGCTTCAGGTTCTCCTCAGTTGCAGCAAGCAGGGTTGTGTTATTCGCAAATTACAGGTTATTGATGAGTCTATCTCCAATCCTGATGCCACATTTATCCTCATAGAGCTCAGCCTCCCAGATAATCTGTCCTGCATATAGATTGAAAAGATATGGAGATAGAACACATCCGTGGCACATACCCTTCCCAATACTGAACCAAGCAGCATTTCCTTGCTCTGTTCTGACGACTGCATCCTGGTCCAAGTATAGGTTTCGCATAAACACAATTAAGTGTTCTGGGATTCCCACTCTTCTCAGAGTCAGCCACAGTTTATTGTAATCTACTGGTACTCCCTGCTTTCAGACAAGATCTATCTGACATTAGCTATAATATCCCTGGCCTCTTCTAAACCCAGCCTGCACTTCCGGCAGTTCTCTGTTGATATGCTGTTTCAGTCATTTTTGGATAATCTTCAGCAGAATCTTGCTTGCATGCAATGATACTGTTCAATAATTTCTGCAATTTTTTTGATAACCTTTCTTTGGAATGTGAACAAATATAGATATCTTCCAGTCATTTGGCCAAGTGGTTGTCCTCCAGATTTCTTAGCATAACTTGATGAGCATATCCAGGACAGCATTTGTTGAAATATGTCAATCGGTATGCCATCAATCCCAGGGGCATTGTTTTTTTGCCATAGTTTTTCAGTGCAGCTTGCTTGAACTTCTTCCTACATCACCATAGGCTATTGCTCATACATTGTTTCAGGTAATTCTTCTGTGTCTACTGATTCCTTTTGGCACAATGACTCTGTATACTCTTTATGTAAACCCTGCTCGCTGAAACTGAGAAGGACCTGAAGCACTTGCTGAAGAGGGTCAAGGACTGCAGCCTACAATATGGATTGAGGCTCAATGTCAAGAAGACAAAGATTTTCACCACTGGGCCAATTGGCAGCATTAAGATGGATGGTGAAGAGATTGAGATTGTTCACAGCTTTAGTTTGCTTGGCTCCACAGTCAACACTCTTGGCACCAGCAGCCAGGAAATTAAAAGATGTATTGTGGTGGGAAAGTCAGGAGTTAGGGACCTCTCCAAAGTACTGAAGAGCAATGGTGTCTCTCTGGAGACTAAGGTGTGTCTGATACAGGCCACGGTCTTTGCAATCACTTGTTATGCATCAGAGAGTTGGACAATGGCCATGGAGGATAGAAGGAGAATTGATGCCTTTGAGCTGTGGTGCTGGAGAAGAGTATTGAGAGTACCATGGACTGCTAGGAAAACAAACAGATTCATCTTAGAAAGGGTTAAACTGGGTGGCTTCTTGGAGGCAAGGATTCTGAGGCTCCATCTAACATACTTTGGACACGTTGTGAGGAGAGACCGGTCCTTGGAGAAGGACATCATGCTTGGGAGGGTGGAGGGACAGCGCAGGAGGGGAAGGCCCTCTATGAGGTGGATTGATTCAGTGACTGGGATAATTGGGATGGGAGTGTCAGAGACAGTGTGATTGGCATAGGACAGAGCAGAGTTTAGGGCTGTTGTACGTGGGGTCGCTATTAGTTGCAAGCGACTCGACGGCACATAAGGACAACAAAAACAATTTTAATGAATGTTTACAGAGAAGTTAGATTTTCATTTCTTCATTGTTTCACAATTTACCCCCCTTCTCTCCCTTCCTTCTCCCCTATTTCAGTTTTTTAAAAAATATTCCTTCATTGTTAAACAATTACCTACTACCACCCCCCACCTAGTCCTCTTTACAATGATATACCTCTTATTCTTGGCTGTTATAACACCAATAATGCCTAATCATATGTTCATTTTGGACATTTCTTTATTTCATCTGTTCCAACGCAATGGTAATTATTTATCCACTCTTATGCTATTCTCCTCCCAATCTCCCCATGTCAGATCTGCTTTATTTGTTCCCATTCCAAAGAAAGATGATTCAACAGGGTGTGAAAATTATCGAACAATATCATTGATATCACATGCAAACAAGATTCTGCTGAAGATCATCCAAAAATGACTGAAACAGCACATCAACAGAGAGCTGCCTGAAGTGACGGCAGGATTTAGAAGAGGCCATGGCGCTAGGGATATTATAGCTAATGTCAGATTCTGAGGCTCCGTCTGACATACTTTGAACACGTTGCAAGGTGGGTGTGTACCAATGAGGGAGTTTTTCTTTTGCTTTTCAAGGAGAGGAACAAATGTGGGGGAGGGGGGAGGGGTTTGTGCGGGGAGAAGGGTGCAACAATGAATGAATGGAATTCCAAAATCTCTGTAGATGTTCATTGAAATGAAAAGTAAGCAAACTAAATTAAAAAAAATACAATGTATAGGAATGATCATATGGAGCATGATGTAAATGAAGGAATGTGTGAAACACAATGTGTATTAATTCTGTATGTAAACCATATAAAACAAGAAATTTAAAAAAAAGATATGTATCTCAGTTAATCCTCCAATGTCTTACCTTCTTTATATCACTTTTTAACTGTATGATCCCAGTTCGTTCAGTTTTGGTCACTCCAATAGCACCAATTTCATGGATAGAAATAGCAGGGCTGATATTTGAGTCATTAGGACGAACTATAACATGATAGATTAAAGATACAAAGAAAGAATGCTCAGTTTCAAATTTATCCCGACCAAATTAAAAGGTTCTTGATGTACGTAGTTTTATTTTTAACTTAACAATAGCAATAAGAAAAGAAATTTATGACATTGCTATTCAAAGTGTGCTTTATGTAAAAGCAGTATTATTAGCAACTTAATAGACTCTGAGCCTACCCCACCCAGCCTCAATAAAGCAGAATCTGCATTTTAGCAAGATGTTGTTGTTGTTGTTGATACGATTGTTTTTGCTAAGTGCCTTAGAGTTCTAGACAACCCATAGTGAGAAGATGAATGGAAGTCTTCAACGCAACACTTTCATATTTTCTCCAAGTTTATAGAGTTTCTGCAGGCAATCTTTTTTTTTTTTAAGTGGATGTCACTCTGGCTTCCAAGCCTGTTTTATTTGGAAGATCCACAAACATCAGGCCCTAGGAACCAAAAGGCTTTTTAAACATGAGACCAAATCCAATCAACTCACACCCTAGTCTCAATCCCAAACCAGAGAACACACCTTACCAGAGTCTGGCCAGTCCACTCATCTTCCCATCCAGGAAATAGTCCCAAACTGGTGGCCAAAAGCCTTTTTAAATACGAGGCCAAATCCAATCAACTCACACCCTGTTGTTGGCAGCAGCCACACTCTAGTCTCAGCCCCAAACCAGAAAAGACACTTACCAGAATCTGGCCATTCTGCTCAGCTTCCTAGCCCGTTGATAAGATACTTGGTAATCTTTATCCACATTAAGACTTAGGAAGGGCTTTATAAGTTTCTTTTAGCACTCTTAAGATTTGCCATCCTTTCATTTAACATTTATTTGTCCTAAGTCTAAAAGTTGAGTATAGTAGATAACCTTTTGTATTTGCTTTGCTGTTTTAGATTGTTGTTGTTAGGTACTAGACACAAAATATCACTTTTTCTTCTATTGTCAAAACTACAAGTGCATGTTAAGATTAGTCTGTGATATATTCCTAATGTATTTGATTTAAAGTTGAAAGGATATCTCAGGTGTACTGAAGATATACTCTACACACACACACACACACACACACACACCCCTAATAGTGCCACTGCTACTAAATCATTACCAAGTGTAGTATAAGAAGGGTTACATAAGTTGTTGGTTAATTAGATTTATTTTATAATAGTAATGCACTAGATACAATATAAGGAAAGATAATTATTAAAACCATAATAACAAAACATAATAATAATAATCAATATACTTAGTATATTATTTAAGCCAAAAACACTTGAGACTTAAATGGCTCTGAAATTTTGTTCCAGAAGACAACATTGTTTATAACCATTTTATATGTTTGAGTTATATTATTTAAATATAAAAGGTACTGAGCATTATTTAACCAATAAGTGCTTAAAAAAAACCCCACAACACCTGTGAAGTGGAAATGCATTTATTCAGTCTTACCACTTCGCTCTACTTCAAACTCCTTGCCACTGAGAATATGATGCAGGAGGCTCTTCATAGCTGAAGGACTGAGATTCATCAGGCCTTCTGTGGCTTCCTCAGCTAGTCAGTAGAAACAACAGGACAGAGGAGATTCTAATTTGCTTGCCATAGTATCTATACTTATTTACTACTTCTTTTCTTCTTAAGAGTTTCTGAGTCATTTTAGGTTCCATCTAGTCACATACAACCCTATAAACAACAGATCTGAGCCTTGTCCTGACCTGTGACATCCTCACACTTCCTGATACTCTAAAGCCCATTTCAGCAATCACTGTGTCAGTCTACCTGGTTGAAGGTCTTCATCTCCATTGCTGACCCCCTGCTTTTCTGAGCATCATGTCCTTCTCCAAGGAATAACCCCCTCCTAGCAACATGCCCAAAGTATGTGAGGCAAAACTTTATTATCCTTGCCACCAAAGAGCATCCTCACTGGACTTTCTCCAAATCTCTTTTTGTTCTTTTGGAAGTCCATGGGATGTTTAGTACTCTTCTTCAACACTACAGCTCAAAGGCATCAATTCTTCTTCTGTTGTCTTTATTCATTGTTCAGCTTTCCAATACATAACAAGTGATCTGAAAGACCAGGGCCTGAATCAGACACACCTTAGTCCTCAAACTGACATAATTATTCCTTAATAATTTAGAGAGGTCCTTGACTGCAGACTTTTTCAGTGCAATACATCTGATTTCCTGACTACTGGTACCAAGGGTGTTAATTGTGGATCCAAGTGAGATGAAGTTGTTGACAGTTTCAATCATTTCTCTGTCTATCATAATGTTGCCTTTAGGTGCAGTGGTAATAATTTTTATTTTCTTGATGTTGACATTCAATAGAAATGGAGGGTCAACAAAATCGATACTCCACTAGCAAAACTCACAAAAGAAAAGAGAGAGAAGA